AACCCCACTCATTAAAAAATGAACAAAAATGCACACCCCATCCAAAAAGTCCCATTCAAAATATTAAATGAAAAGAGCCTCTCTCCCTCCAAAAAGTCCTATTAAAAATGAAAATCTTCCTTCAAGCAATCCTCTGCATTTTTGCTAAACCCTTTCAGTCAATTGTCTCTTCCTGGGCCTCATCAACATCCAACTCTGAGTCTTCCTCTGCAGTGTCACTGTCCAGCCTTGTTGAGGATGGCTCTGTGTCAGGCTCAAAGAGCCTTAGGTTTGCCCGAATGCCAACCAGTGTTTCCACTCTCACATTTGTGAGCCTGTTGCGAACCTTTGTGTGGTCTCAATAGCCATGCAGTAAGCAGTGTGCTATGGCATGGATATTCAAGTGTACTTGAATGGCATTGGTTTGTTTTAGTCAAGATTATGCTAAAATATACTTTCCCCAACTATATTTTAGTTCCCTATGAAGAGCCAACCTTAAATTTAGAAAATTCCCATAAATTCCCGTTAATTCCCATGGAAAGTTTCCATCTTTGAAAATTCCCGGAATTTTGCAACCCTAGTTACCACCGGGCTTCTATAATCTTTGTGGTTATTGGCATGCTTTGGATTTTTGTTAATATTTGATGAAAGAAGTTGTAAATTACAAAGATTACGCTGGCACTTGGAATATTATACTCCTGCAGCACATTCATAATAAAGACACAATGCATGAAACGTGTTTTTCATTGTTGTTTTGCAGCGGGGGAGATTAACGATATGTTCTTCTTGTGGAGAATGAATGTCAAAAAGGGAGTGATATCCGGAGAGCTTAGCCGACTGCAACTACAAAAAACGTTGAAGTATTAATGCAGTTGTCCGTTCGCGATGTTGTGTAAGCTGTGAGGATTGAAAGCTCCTGCTGTTGTCAGGCAGTGGAGCAGAAGCAGCAGGAAGAGCAAATGCTGACGGGAGAGGCCCGGAGCCCAGGAAGAAGACTGTTATGAAAGCTAAAGCCTCAGATGACTTGAACCAAATCAAAGGCAAATATCCCTCATTATTATCTTTGAGGTTTTAAAACCCTTTAAAAAGAGCTATTACTGTTGGCTGCTTACTCTGAAGTATGTCACTTCCTTGATCATTCATAACAAAGACAGTGAAATTACTTTTTTATTGGGAATATTTGGGAACAAGTAGTATTTAAATAGTTTGTAATAATTATTGTCACCCAATCTGACAGTGATGAACATTTATCAGTTTATAATTCTCTGCACCAAAACATTAGCAGTTGACTCACCTGCAGTCCTATTTTTCAATCTCGATTTTTGGTATGAGATGCTGGATGTTCTTCACATTGGCAATAGATGGCACTAAGCCAAAGCACCTAAAAATACATTTGAGATCTCAACAGTAATGCTCCTTTCCAGATATCACGACCCAGTTACTCAACAAATCCACATAACTTGTTGAAAGCAGTTCCATGTAGGAAATATATTCCTTCTTTCAAACAACAACCACTAACCATGTCCCCGTTCAGAAGGAAGCAAGCTCCTACTAGGTTGTGTCTAAATGGTAACCCTCAATTTGTGAAAGCTCTCACAAGGCACAGTGTCCGACGACCTATGCTAATGTTAACCATTTAAGGTCAATGCCTTCCTTAACTTTCTTGCAAGGGTTTGTAAATTGCTGGCAACCATCAACACACAATCCATCCACTAATGGACGAGAGGCCCGTGATATGATTTCATGATGCTGATGACAGCATCATGAAATCATATCATCGATGATTGTCCAACCATTTCCCTTCTCCCCCCAGAAAAAAAGTCAGATGATCGCCAAAATAAGAAGGGAACCATGAATGTCTGTTCTACATTTTGTGGCTGATATTTGTTAAGATCATTTTGTCAAAGGTGTAAATATCCATCCAACCAAGCCATGCTGATGTCTAAAAATGCCAAAAATGACCTTTGTTTTAGCTTCCCTCAGGTGACAGTTGCTTATCTTTGCTGTGGTACATTGGTTGTACAAAACTATTATTTTGAGGGCTTGGTTAAAGATAAAGAGATACAAAGCTCCTGTTGAAGTGCTTTGTTGTAATAAAGAACATGAAACACGACGGTACTTACAAACTAAACCTGACTGTATTCAGAATATAAAAGAACTAAGGTCAAATATGTTTCACCTAGATTTGCAGAAACATGACAGCATTCATAATGTCTGACAGCAGCACATTCCCCCACGCCAATGTTAACATTTTGACAGCAGATGGTATTTTTCTCTGCGCTCAGCTAATTTCGCATTAGGTAAATACAGTTCAGGATCAGCAGCAGACAGAGTCAGATCCAGATGCAGTAAGTGGGTCAGGGATTATTCCGCTGGGTCACATAAACACTGAGGCTATGAGTCAGCTTGGCAGCGTGATCACGATGTCCGCCAGCAGAGGCAATAATGAGATAAACTGACCTGTGGCGATGCTCCTCTGTTACTGCCAAACTAATTTACAAAGAGAACTGAGGCTGAACAAAAATGAGTGTGAATTAATGCTCCGGAGGATTGTTGTTGATTTTCTACTTGGAAAAGTTAAACAAACATTAGATTTCTTGTTAAAATATCACAAAGCTTCACACCAAAGAATAATTATCTCACTTAGAAAGGGACTTATTCTACTTTATCCAGCTGACACAGTTAGTGTCAACACAATGAATTATTCATATCAGTTTCTATTAGTCCTTTAGTGAAA